CAGTCTTAAGTCGCTGGGGTATATTTGTAGCAATAGCCAACAATACATTGTATGGGTCAAAATTATAGATTTTTATGGTGAGGTTTTAGGTTTGTATAAATAAATGAATACATACACTTTGTAAAAATCGACACGTTTCAGAAAGGCGGGGCATAGAGGAGAAACAATAATGTACAGTATGTGGAAAATAATGTGTTTTTTTAACCTTAAACCGCATAAACACATTTCATTACACCAAATACACAAAATAATGTTCTTTTTAGCAGCATCATATGACCCCTTTAAAGGAGCCCGGTTGAAAATAATCATTTTTCCACTTTTTTTTGTGCAAACAAACTTTATTAACATTATAAGTAAGCCTAAATAATAAAAAAATCCATATCATGACACCTTTAAAGATTTATATCCAATTTTTATTTATATTTTTGTCACTTGCCGAGATTAAATCTTACTGCGAGTGACTCCTGTCTCTTCTATATTAATAACTTTCAAGGACTCGTCTCCAGATAATAATCATAATTTCCTCTTTTCACAAATATTTCCTACACCCCTGATTACAGAGACGTCCCCCTGAAGTGAATAAAGATGATTGGGGATCTCTCCGGTTTATGGGTTGCAGCATGCATCGTAACATGCATATTTATCGTGCTCATCTCTGTGCTGCATGCTTTGTTTGTGTGCAGGTTTGAGAAGATGATCAGTGGGATGTATATGGGTGAGCTGGTCAGACTGATCCTGGTGAAGATGGCTAAAGACGGCCTGCTCTTCCAGGGACACACCACTCCAGATCTGTTCACCACTGGCCACTTCCAGACCTCCTTCGTCTCTGCCATCGAGAATAAAAAGTCAGTACCTTTTTGTGCTTGTGTGTTTCTTGCTATACTAAAAAAGTGCGGCAGAAGTAAGCTAAAACTGATAAAGTTAATAAATAAAATGGCTAAATCCTGTTTTTAAAGGGAGAGTTCACTCTAAAATGAAAATTTTTGGATTTGGAGGAATGTAGCATTACATCACTTGCTCTGCAGTGAATGGGTGCCATCAGAATGAGAGTCCAAACAGCTGATAAAAACATCACA